CCGACGCGTGGTGATGACGTTTGGAACCATAGAGATGTGTTTCCCTCCCCCCCCTCCCGTGGCTGGAGCCGGCGCGTGGCGATGACGTCACCAGAACCATAGAGACGTGCGGCCTCAGTGGCACGCGCTGGCGGACTAAAGAGCGGCCGGCGAGGCAAGCGGCCGGCGCGGGCCCCTGGCGGGCGGGCGGTGCAGCCCTAGGCCCGAGCACCGGACCTGAGCTTCCAGGGTTCGAGTCCCGCCCCCGCCTGAGGCGGAGCCGGGAGTGCGGGCGACCTCGGGGAGTCACTCCTGCTTTCCGAGCACCTCCCCTCTGAACGCCTCCCAGGCTCGGGACAGACTCAGAACTAGGCAGCCTGGACGACGAGTGACAAGATGGACAGCAAAGTAGAGTGAAGGGAGACGCGGGGCCGAGATGGGTGGGGGAGGTGGGGGGGCGGGAAACCTGTGAGGGAAGAGACGGGAGTGAGGGTGGGATTGAGGAGGAAAAGAGATGAGGATTGAGTCCGGAGGGGAGGAGGGCGACGGGGCGGATGTAGAGCTCACGGATAGGGTCTGGGTGTGCCACGAGGGAGCCTGGAGTGGGGGAGGATCGTCTAGGCCCGGGGTCCCGCCCTACATCCTGGCCCCATCTGCCCCGGTGCAGGACCTGGGGCCCACCGAGGGTTGCAGCCAGGATGGCGGCAGTGCCCCTGCCAGCCCAGCAGCCTCCGCGCCCCAGGAGAAGGAGGAGGAGGAAGGTGGGGCGGCCGTGGGGCCTGGGCCCCAGCCCGGGCTGTACGGCTACATTAGGGACGGCCTGTTCACCTCGGAGATCTTCAAGCTGGAGCTGCAGAACGTGCCCCGCCACGCCAGCTTTAGCGACGTCCGCCGCTTCCTGGGCCGCTTTGGCCTGCAGCCCCACAAGACCAAGCTCTTCGGGCAGCCGCCCTGTGCCTTCGTGACATTCCGCAGTGCCGCTGAGCGAGACAAGGCCCTGCGTGTGCTGCACGGGGCCCTATGGAAGGGCCGCCCGCTCAGCGTGCGCCCGGCCCGGCCCAAGGCCGACCCCATGGCCAAGAGGCGGAGACTGGAGGGCGAGGGCCAGCCGCCAGCCACACATGTGGCAGATGTGGTGACCCCGCTCTGGACAGTGCCTTACCCCGAGCAGCTGGAGCGCAAGCGGGTGGAGTGCGAGCAGGTGCTGCAGAAGCTGGCCAAGTGAGTGTGGCGCAGGGCAGCCCTCTGCTCTTGCCAGCTGCTCTGCACACACAGAACCCCGATGTGGGCTCCGGGTTGCGGGGTGCTGGCCAGCAAGACCCCCGCGTTTCCCGCGGACACCGTGACATCCCAAACTAGGGGTGGGGGCAGGTGCTGGACACTTAGAGCAGTGGGCGAAGGCCGACCATGCATCTACTTGCCCTGCAGGGAGATCGGGAGCACCAACCGCGCCCTGCTACCCTGGCTGCTGGAGCAGAGGCACAAGCACAATAAGGCCTGCTGTCCACTGGAGGGGGTCAGGCCATCACCCCAGCAGGTTAGGCGGGACTTCAGCCCCCCTTCTGGGTTTCTTAAAATGTCCATTTACTTGTTCTTCCCTCCCATCTCTCTGCAATGTGTTTTTTCTGGTAGCCTGTTACATAGCTGCAGTTGTCCCTCTCATTTAGACTGCCAGCCCCTGTGGGGAAATTGGGGTCTCTCCAAGCACAAATGCTGGACAGCCAGTGTGAGACTCTGTCTCTCTTTACTTCCCTGCTGCCTGCAGACCGAGTATCGCAATAAGTGTGAGTTTCTGGTCGGCATTGGGGTGGATGGGGAGGACAACACCGTGGGCTGCCGACTCGGCAAGTACAAGGGCGGCACGTGTGCCGTGGCACCACCCTTCGACACAGTGCACATCCCTGAAGCCACCAAGCGGGTAGTGAAGGCCTTCCAGGAGTTCATCCGGTGAGGCCCTGTGACCAGGCTCCTGGGAAGTCCTACCTGGAGGGTTCTGGGGTGCCTGCAATGGCGGTTGGGTGGGGCTAAAGGAACAAGGAGACTGCTTCCCCACCCTGGAGACTCAGGTTGCCATGGTTCCCACAGATCCACCCCGTACTCGGCTTATGACCCAGAGACGTATGGGGGCCACTGGAGGCAACTGACCGTGCGCACCAGCCGCCGTGGCCAGGCCATGGCCATCGTCTACTTCCACCCCCAGGTCTTGGGGGACCCTGCTGGGGAGGGTATGAGACGGGTGGGCTTGGCACAGCCTGATGAGGCTTTCTTACCACTTACTGCAGAAGCTGAGCCCCGAGGAGCTGACAGAGCTAAAAGCCTCCCTAGCACGGCACTTTGTGGCAGGGCCAGGCAGGGCCAGTGGGGTGACCTGCCTCTACTTCGTGGAGGAGGGACAGCGGTGAGGACCAGGGGGAACTCGGGGGAGGGTCCCCCCAGGGACTGGTGACACTATAGGACCTGTACCTCCTCCTACAGAAAGACCCCTAGCCAGGAGGGCCTGCCCCTAGAGCATGTGGCTGGGGACCAGTGTATCCATGAGGACCTGCTCGGACTGACCTTCCGGATCTCTCCTCACGCCTTCTTCCAGGTATCCCTGCATCCCTAGTGGGCACAGGGATGCTCTGTGGACAGTGGGTGGGAGCAGCAGAAGAGCATGGGGTGGGTGGGGGGAACCGCTGGGGTAGGAAGGAGACTGTTCATCACTGCTTGACTCTCGTGACAGCCCAGAGGCAAATGTGCCGATGACCCTTCTTGTCACTCAATGCAGGGCACAGCCAGGTATGGTGGCTCACGCCTATAATCCCTGCACATTGAAAGGCGGGGGCAAGAGGATTGCCCGAGTCCAGGGGTTTGAGACCAACCTGGACAACTTTGCGAGACCTTGAGGTCTCTACAGTAAATCAAAAAAGTTAGCTGGGTGTGGTGGTACACACTTGTGGTTCCAGCTACTTGGAAGGCTGAGACGGAAGGATCACCTAAGCCCAGCAAGTCAAGGCTGCGGTGGCTATGCGTGGGCCACAGCACTTAAGCCTGGGTGACAGAGTGAGAGAGACTCCTACTCAAAAAAAAGAAAGAAAAGGCAGGGTGCACTTCACTCCCAATGGGATGCTACTCTGGGTTCAGCAGAAGGGAGGCTGGGATGGCTTTGAGCCAGGAACATTTCAGAGCCTCTCTCTGTGGGGAGAGACCCTTGAGAGAGCCATGGGGCCTCAAGAGCTGGTGAAGACCCTCTTGGAGGCAGTCTGGCCTGGCAGGAGCTGCTGGGGGACTGGATATAGGAGTGGGAGGGTGGATCCAGGGGCCCTGGTGTGAACTCTACTGAGAGGCAAGGCACCTGCTTGCTAGCGTAGGCTGTGAGGCCCTATGCACCAGCCCTACACACTGCTGCCTAGGAGAGAGGGTGGCAGGGTGAGGATACCAGTTTAGCTTGAAGTATGGTCCAAGGTGGCGATAGGTAATAGGGTGAGTACACCAAGGAGTGGGCCTGGAGGTCTCAGCAGGAGGAAAGAGCCAAAATTGGGCTGTGGGGTGGAGGACAGCTTGCACTCAGGGGCTGCTGATGTGCTGGGTACCGCCCTCAGGTGAACACACCTGCTGCCGAGGTGCTCTACACAGTCATCCAGGACTGGGCGCAGTTGGACACAGGGAGCACAGTGCTGGATGTGTGCTGCGGCACTGGCACCATCGGCCTGGCTCTGGCCCGGGTAAGCTCCCTTGGCCAAGGATGCCTCTCCCCACCCCTGACCCAGACCCAGTTTTTCTCTGAGCTTGTAGACCCTTGCCACTCCACTTCCTGAGAAGCCCCAGACAGGGTAACAAAGCCTGCACCCTTCTGTTTCAGAAGGTGAAGAGAGTCATTGGGGTTGAGCTGTGCCTGGAGGCCGTGGAGGATGCCCAGGTGAACGCCAGAAACAATGGTGAGCATGGCAGGGCCCTGAGGGGCAGACAGGCAGGGGAGGCAGCTGTCAACCCCTGCCATGTGTCTGAACCATGGCTGGGGTTCTCTGGAACCTCCTGTGCACTACCCTAAAGGAAGGGTGGGTGAACAAGCTCCTTGACCAGTGGGCCCCCAAGGTATCTCTGGGCTGTCCCAAGGCTGGCCCTGCAGGGGAGGTGTCAGGCTCCACTGATAGGGTCACTGCTGTTTCCAGACCTGAGCAACGCTGAGTTCCACTGTGGGAGGGCTGAGGACCTGGTGCCTACCCTGGTGAGCAGACTGGCCTCCCAGCACCTTGTGGGCATCTTGGACCCACCCCGCGCTGGCCTGCGTGAGTACACCCCACCTGGGGAGGTGATGCCGAGACAAGGATGGATGTTAGGGTTGCCGCCAGGCTGTGCATTTGGGCCTTGGAGACTAAGCCTGTGTTTGTGCCCCTCAGATTCCAAGGTGATCCTGGCCATCCGCAGAGCTGAGAACCTCAAGCGGCTACTGTACGTCTCGTGCAACCCCAGAGCGGCCATGAGCAACTTTGTGGAGTGAGTATCAGGCAGGGGCTGGGGCTTTAGGATGGCACCAGCCCACTCTCCCATGGGGTCCTCAAGGCTGTGAGCTGACTTTGGCGCTCCCTCCCTTCTCACCACAGCCTCTGCAGAGCCCCATCCAACCGGGTGAAGGGCACCCCCTTCCGGCCAGTCAAGGCCATGGCTGTGGACCTGTTCCCGCAGACACCACACTGTGAGATGCTCCTCCTGTTTGAGAGAATAGAGCACCCCAATGGCATGGGGAGCCTGGAGCCCCATGGGCCCCCAGATGACAACACACAGGAACCCAGGGTCTAGGAGAAGCCAGCATCGGATGGAAGCCATGGGGCACCCAGCCCTACTACATATACCCCAGGATGCTCAGAGGCAGGCAGCCAAGGGGCACAGGACCCAGTGACCCCACTAGGACCAGTCTACTGCTGGGGCAGACTCTGACAAGGAAGGTGGGTGGGCTCCTGTGGCCTGTTCTCCAACCCCAGGTCCTTGTGGACCAGCTAGGCCATGAGGGCCGCAATAAATAGCTGCTGAACTATGGATGTTGCTGTGATGAAAGAGAGTGCAGGGGCACATGAGCCTCCTCTATCCCCCACTGCAGGTGCCAAGGGACAGAACCAGTGGGGTACCTGGGTTCCACCTGGCCTCCCTGGCCTACTCCTGGGCATAGTCCAAAATCTGGCTGGGTAGAAGGTGGGTACAGAGGTTACTTCATAGATGCTGGGTTTCATGCTTAAAACAAGATAGAAATATCTCAGAGCCAAGCACCACCTGAACATGGGGGGGTGAGAGAGGACACAGGGCAGTATGCTACTTGGCCCAGGGAAGGTCCCTCCTAAACCTTGTTCCCATGCTCAGCCTGGCCCTTGGCCCAGGAGGGAGGGCAGTGAGCAAGGAAGGGCCGGGCTACCCTGGTGTGCCACTCAGCCCCCATAGGAGCAGCTGTGTCAGTGCCTGGCATCCCACCCACAAGGGCTCCAGAAGAGATTCTGGCCAGCTGAAGGTCCACAGGCCCTCTCAGAAGAAACATGCCAGCTGTTCCCTTTCAGACAGTTTGCTTTATGCATTCAGACAATTAAGACTTGCCTTCTGGCTGCCAAATGCCTCAGCCTTGCAGCATGGCTGTGCACACATGACTTGGACCCACGTTTAGCAGAAGGGGACACAGACACCACGAGGGCATGACAGCACCTGCTGTGACAGCATCTGGGATGCAGTAAGACTCCCTAGCCTCCAGGGAACATGTGTGCACGAGGCTTTGGTTCACAGGCGCATCTGGCTAAGGGCACTCACAGGCCAATGATTATTCACAGCTGTAGACAGGAGGCAAGACCAAAGCAAGTATCTAATTACAGCAACGTGATTGGGGGTTTCCTTTTTAAAGGTCAACTGTGCTGACCTTGGTCACACAGTTGGTGAGGGAGGGATGTGTTGTGTGTGGCCCACAAGCTGACATTGTTTCCCTGACAAAAAAAATGCTGTCAATACCACCCATGGGAGACATGGTAAGGGACAGGACAAATGCCACAGAATGCTGGACTCCTGCATCAGGTGGTATGCCACAAGCACACAGAACCCTGCATGGGTGCTAGGGATGAGGCCAACAGCTGGCTACCACCCCAGAGGCCTGAGCACATGCTCATACCTGGACCCTGGCAGGAACACACTTCCACTGCCCCACTCCCATCCAGGGGCTGCCAGCGAGCACAGTTGCTGGTCAAGCAACAAGCTGGACACCAGCCTAGCCACACAGGGCGGATGCCAGTGACATCTGGCAAGTCATCCCTGGGGGGCAGTCACACCACATGCTTGCTGGCTCTGAATCAAAAATAGACTGCACTGAAGGCCCCAGTTCCCTGTTTAAACAAGCCCACTTGCTAAAATGCATGATTCCAAATCTACCTTCTACTCTCACAGTAAAAGTTTCTTTTCAATGCTAAAATATCATAAAAGCTTTAAAAATTGATGTGGACAGATGGACTTGACTGTGCAAAATCTTGATAAAAAAACCACTGTGGCTGGAGGCCAGCGAAGGTGGGGCCTCAGTGTCCAGGGCAGTGCTCAGGACACAGACTTGATCAGAAGGACTGCAGCCCGTAGCAGGCAGGGCAGCACCAGGAGGCTGGCAGGACAGCATCCTGGATGGCATCATGTCATGGTCAGAGTGCTGCCTTGATGGCATGCCTGCAATCTCTGAAAAGTAGTTCTGATGCTAAAGTTCTGCTTACTCTAAACCAAAAGGTCTCAAATACTCCTTTCTACCTGTTATAACTTTTTAGAGAAAAAGGGAGAACACAGAAGGCAGGTGGGGGACAGGGTGCTGCGCGCACCTTATGACCAGGTCCCTGCAGTGGCTCCATGAGAGTCCTGGGCACAGGGGCCACCTGGCATTATGGGCCAACCACAGCCATGGGACTCAAGTCCTTTCTCGTTTCATCTGCCATCCAAGTATCACGTGTGTCAGTGCGTACTGTGTACTAAAATTCATGAAAACCTTCATAGAAACAGTCTGCAGCAAGGACACACAAGTGGGGCGATGCCATCTGTGAGCTACTGGCTCTCAGCAGTGCAGTTGCACAGAGTTCATCCCCTTGGACCAGGGAGCCGTTTCCGAGGAGAGGCTCTGCTCCATGGTGTGCTGTGCCCAGAGCCTCCACCTTCAGGCCGGGCCTCAGATATGCTGGCTATGGGAGAAGCTTAGGTCGGAGGCCCGGTGCTACAGCAGGCGACATGTGCCTGGCAGTCTCCTCAGCAGTGCCACTGGTGGCCCCCATGCCCCGACCTGTACCGCCTCCCTCACACGTCGACGGTGCACAGGGGCTCGCCACCAGGCTGGGCCGACGCCACAATGGACATCTTGGGCTTCTTCCGAGTCTCCTCCTAAAAGAACAAAGGCCAGGAAAATCAGGAGTGGGGCTTGGCAAGAAGCTCTGGAATGGCCCAGGGTGGAAGGGAAGCTCAACAGGCCAGGGACCCCTGAACCCCCCAGGGTGCCACTGCTTATGATGCCAGGCCAGGAATGCAGGTCTCCCACAATGCCACCACAGAGCACCAGGGCACCAGGATGCACCCAGAAGTGAAGGACGGTACAGTTTCAGCAGTAAGCCAGGCCTGCCCCATGAGCATCTCCCCAGCCTGGCCTTTACTTGCCCCACGACCCAGGCAACTCCTTCTCCTTAGCTGAAGTCTGCTGCCCTTGGGTCCCACAGCCCCTTCCCAAACCAGAGGCAGGAGGGAGGTGACCCCTGGCCTGAGGAAGCACAGGCAGCCAATGCCTATTGGGGCTTTCACATAGGCCCAGGAAATGCCACACCTAAAAAAGCTCCTACCCAAAAGACCCAGATAGGGTTGTACATGGCCACGTGGCCCATGTCTGGGGACAGGGCACACCACTGTTCCTGATAGGCCCCTCTTGGAGTAGGGCACCAAAGGTGCTTTAGGAAGCTTCACTGGGACCCTGGCCAACACACTGACCTGCCCTCAAATACCTGGCACAGGCGGGACACAGCCCTGAGGCCACACCTCTCACCAACCAGCAGGCCACCTGCCGCTCTCTAACACAATAACTACACACTTGAGTCACACATGCCAAAGCACATGTGGAAGGAGGGCCAGGACTCTCCAGCATTGGGACAGGACAGCCAGCGCTGGGGGGGGGCAGTGGCCGCAGGAGCGTCAGGGCAGGCTTACCCTCTCCTCAGCCAGCCTTCGCATCTCCTCCTGCAGCTTGCTCAGGATGTGCAGGTTGGGCTTATTTTTCTTGGCATACTGCTGCAGCTCAATCACGCTCTTGTCTGAGGTCTCCTGGGGGTACAGGTCACATGCTCAGGTCTGCCCAGCTTCAGAGCCCCACTCCCCCGAAGTTAGGCTGCCCCAGGCCTGGCAGCCACGTGGTAGCCATGAGATGCAGCGACACAGCTGCACAACTACCACCACTGGACAATGCCTGGCTGCAAGGCCTGAAAGACAGCAGCAGAAAACGAGGGCAGCAGCAGAGAGCGAGGGGCCGCCTATGGCTAACCGGTCTGCTTTCTGGCTACCCTAACCCTAACCTGTGCTTCCTCCTGCCCTGGGCAGAGAAAAAAGGTTGGGTTGCTTTTGGTGCCTGAAGCCCCTGAGTTGAGAGATCAGAGCATGAAGTCAGCAGCAGGCACAGTACAATGACAAAAGGACAGCCCAGCCCTCAGGCCAAACTCTCTGCACACTCCCTAGCTCAGAACATTATAGGGCCATCCTTGGCCTCCTCTCTCAAAAGGCCATCCTTGAGGGTGCTGCTGTACCATGGGATTCCAGAGCTCCCTGTGCTAAGGTTGTGCCAGCTGGGGTCCCAGCTTAGCTTCCCACCCTGGCTACAGTAAGGCTTGCTTTCTCTCCAACTGGGGCCAACAACAAGCGCTAGCTGCATTTCAACCCATCCCCAAAAATGTCTACCCTGAAGTTTCTGTGTTTATGTAGCCTGCCTCACCCTGCCCTGCCATGCCCAGAGCAAGGGCCTCTTTATGGACTCTCCACCAGCAGGCTCACCCTCCACCAACCAGGATGCTGGTCCCCAAGACAGTCTCAATAAACATCAGGGAAAACGAAGACTGTGAATACCCATCTCCCAGCACTTCCTTCCTGCTGCAAGTGTAGCATGGGCTCACATTTTGAAATCTTGGCCAAAACAGCAGAAACAGGACAGATGGCACCTACGTACTCTTCAAGCAAAGGTGGATCAGCAATGGTACCAGGGACAGCTGCCCTGACACACTCACTCTTTCTCTAGCAGTGGGCAGCAACTAGGCACAAGGGCTGCATGAGAAGGGCCAGGCTGAGCCTTTGCATACCTCCAAGCCAGGTGCACCACCAGAATCTCCCGCCTGGCCCTGTCATGCACTCTGGCTACCTCCCCACAGAGGATGGTGCTGATCACTCATACTTCAGTGACCCCAGGCTAGGGAGGGAGATGTGGCGGGGATGACCCGCACCCTAACCAAAGCCACAGATGTGGCACAGGAGAAAGGCAGCCATAAGCTGCCAAACTCTGTCCCTGACTATGCAGCCCCAGGTGCCAGCTCAGGGTGGGAGGAAGAGGAGGAACAGAGAGACTGCCCTGGAACCTGCGCAGGGGCCAGTTACCTGTTTGACCATTTTGCTGCTCTCACGTCCATACATGCGCAGTAAGGACCCCCAGTTCTTGACATGTGGGTGCAGCAGCTGGAGGATTTTCTGTGAGGCTAACTGTTTTCCGACTCTCTTATTCTTACCTACAGAGAAGACAAGCAAAAGTGGAGGAGGGGGCCACAGACACCAGCATTCACAGGGCTACCCAGCCCAGACAGAACCAGCTCCCTGCCATTCCAAGCCTTCCTGCCCAGCACCCTGAGAGCCAGTTGAGACACATTCTACAGAAGTGGGGACAGCACTCTGGCACTATTCCAGGTACCCGAGTCTCACAGTACCCAGCCACCACGAGAGTAGCCTGGAAGCTCCAGGAGGTGAGGGTCCCACCCCAGATCACACAACTGAGAGGCCTTCCTCCACAACCCCACACTTCCAGGCAGGGAAGCAGCAATGTCCTACTGGCTGTTCTAGGAGGATGGCCCTTCCTCCCACCACAAGGACAGGGGAAGGAACAGGAGGAAGACACAGGAGGTACAGCAGGACAGCCACCAGTAACTCCTTGGGCTGAATATGCAGCAGGCAATGACACAACCAGAGATTGGGAGCAATCCCAGAGTAGTGGCCAGGGACCCACACAGAGGCAGGAAGCCATGCTGAGGGTCACCCACCCGACATCCCCCTAGTGCTCATTGGGAAGCAGGGGAGGGGTCCTTACACCACCCGCGCACTGTGTGCTTGCCGCACGCCATGACGTATTCACTCTTCTGGTTTTTACCAGGAACCACCTCAAACTTGATGGACGTGTCACCCATTCCATGGTTTCTTTCAGAGAAAACAAAAGACAACAGGCAGCAACTGCTGAGGAGGCATGCTCAGCCCTTGAAAGGCTCCCCTAAGAGAAAGACCAAGCCTTGATCAAAACTGCTTCTAGCTGATGGGGAGGGAATCCTTGACATACTCTATTCAACCCTATGGGCAATCAGACAACCAGGCCACAGGGCTTCTGTGTACCCAGGGAAAGTGAGCAATGTCATGGCCTTGGAAAAAACTTCCACTGAGGATATGGGGTACCAAAAAGAAGGTCCCTGACCTGACCTGAGGGAAGACACTGCCCAGCCTACCTCTTAAGGCACTCGTGGAGGATCTGATATGGAGACAGCAGCCCGGCCTTGCTGGTCAGCTCATAAACTCGCGAGTCCTCGATGCTGATGTGGTTAAAATACTACAACACAAAGCACACACCATGAATCTTGACCAGGCCTGCCAGCCTCTCGGGGCTATTCCCTGCTGCTGGCTTCCCCCAGATTGGCATCTTCTCAGTACCTCCCCTGAACACATCACACTCCCACAGTTCTGCGTTGAATCCACTGGGAGACACTCTATACCTCACAGTTGCCCACCTCCAAGGCCTCCTACTCCCTGCTCCCCTGAGTATAGTGGAACAGAGTCTGGTGCCCCAAGGAGACCCTAGGAACACAGTCGACTGACTAAGGACAGACACTTCTTCTGAATCTGACCATGATCAACAGGCACCATTCTCAGAACTCTAAAGAGAAGCCACCTTCAGAAAGAGCCTTCCCAGTCAGAACTAAGAAGGCAGAGAAAGCAGGGCAGCCAGGCACCAGCGTTGCACTGGAGAAAGGCCCCAGCCCCACACAGCTGCTGGAGCACCAACCTAGGGGTCAACAGCATCATGGTGGCTCTGCAACCCATCACTCTGATCATAGAACAGAAGGGCAAGGATAATGGGAAAACCAGTGAGCAAGCTACACTTGAGAGAAAAAGAAACCGCACAGCACAGCACAGGGAAGCTGTGAGGGGCCAAGCTCACACAGGCTGAAGCTGAGAGCCCTCCTGGGTGGAGGGGAGGTATTGCCACCCACTCCAAAGCACAGGCCATCTCCCTGGTGGGGCTGCCCTAATAAAGTATCATCACCTGGGTGGCTCAGAATTCCAGGTTTCCCCCTCAGTTCTACAGGGTGTGCCCTCTCAAGCCCCCGGGGAAGACCCTTCCTAGCTCTGCAAGCACCTGGCAGCCCTTGGCCACCAGCCTGCTCTTCACATGGCCTTCTACCTTCCTCTCTCCCCTCTTCCGAAAAGACATCAACAGACTGGAGGAAGAGCCAACTGCCTCCTGCAGAGTGCCCTCATGTTCATCCACCTCCTTTCCTCTGTACTGGCCCTAGTTCCAAAGGTGCATTCTGAGGTCCTAGAGACGACCACTTCAATACAACACAGAACAGAACCCTGAGATTTGGGGCAAAGGCTCATTTCTCCCAAACACAGATTACATGCTTGTACCAGATAAGAAATGGAGTCACAAGCCAAAGGGACCCACCCCAAGGCCACCCAGCACAGCGCTTCCTACCAACCCTTTACTGGAGGGGTCTTCAGGGACCTGGAGCCACAGGTGAGAGACACCTAAGGCCTAGACCATGGGCACATGCGCGAGCATCCAAGAACAGATTCATGTGCCTTGTTGTGCAGGCGACACAGGTCACCAGGCCTTCTCTGCAGGGGCAGTGGCCCAGCAGCCAAGGTAGCAGGTGACACCTCCGCCCTTCCTCCACCATGGCAAGGAGGCAGACTCACTTCCAGCCACGTGGGAGGAGGGCAGCACCATCCCTGAGGACTGCTGAGGCTGGCAAGAGGGCTATCTTCTGGGCACAGACTGGTTACTGTCTTCAAACAGGTCTCCTCTCAAGTGTCCACATCAGCATGGGTTCACTTGCAGGTACAGTCACTCACAGGACAGCAGGCCCTGGAACCTCAAGGACTAGTAAGACTCTCAAAACCTGCCCTCTTATGGGTAGTCAGTTCCTGGGCTGGGGGGCCTGGTATCAGGACTGAGCAGGCAGAACACCCTGCACACCCTATAACCTGGACTGCACAGAAGCTGAGGCTGGCATGTGTGCAGCTGGAGAACAGACTCAGAAGCACACAGGCCAGGGTGACTGTACCAAGCTGCCAAAGGCCACACATGCTGCTGGGGGTGCCAGCTCATGAAAGCAGAGGAGTGGCAGAAGTGATCTGCAGACAAGTCCCTGTCGCTTCTGACAAACAGCACAGGGGAAATCCGAGTGTTCTGTGCCTGGCAGAAATCAAGGGACTACCAGGGAGCAGATACCAAACAACCATAAATTGAATAATCTAAATAAAATGGACAAAAGCCTTGAAAAATACAAACTACCTGAATAGCCTGAACAGCCCTATGTCAATTCAAGCCCTATATATATTCAAGAAATGGAATCTGTTGTTAAAATGTTTCCACTAGGAAAGGCACAGTGGCTCACGGCTGTAATTCCAGTACTTTGGGAGGCCAAGATGGGAAGACTGCTTGAGACAAGGAGTTTGAGACCAACCTGGGAAACAAGATATCTCACTTATAAAAAAAACAGAAAAATTAGCTGGGCGTGGTGGCACACCTATAGTCTCAGCTATTTGGGAGACTGACGTGGAAGAACTGCTTGAGCCCAGGAGTTGGAGGCTACAGTGAGCCATGATCATGCCACTGAACTCCAGCCTAGGCAAGAGTGAGATCCCCGACTTAAAAAAAAAAAAGTTCCCACTAGGAAAACTCCATGCCCAAACTTTGAAAAAGAAATGATACCAATTCTATATCTGTATATATCTCCCACCCTCTTGAAACACTCAAGAGGAGGGGCCCTTCCCAACTTATTTCATAACAGGGTTCCATGCTATTAACACCGGGAAAAGACAGTACAGAAATCTACAGGTTAACATCTTTCTGGAACAGAGATGCAACAGTGTTAGCACACTGAAGTCAATTAACACACAAAAAGGAATATATGCCATGCCCAGGAAAGACTCATCCCAGGAAAAGAACATCACTAATTATATCAAGTTAAAGAAGTTACAACTGAAAACAAATGAAAAACACTTGGTCTCTTAATGCCTGAATTCGCAAAGAGCCCTGAGCCATCCAATCCAGGCCACATAACCCACAACAAAGTACCAAGAAGAGATCACCACAAATTTTGTGAAAAGGAAATGATGCCCATTCTGTTCCTCTTTTTCCCTTTTCAATCAAACACACTTTGCACTGAGACTCTCCTTCCCCGCAATGCAGAGTGGAGGGTAGCCAACACACCGCACAGGTGACATCCCACAGACATCCAAAAGCCCTAGGGCTTCCCTAGCCCACCAAACATCTCAGCCCATTCCCAGAGTCCACACAAGGAAGAGATGCTGCCCCATTGCCCAGGCAATACCAAGGGTCACCTGGGACCTCTATGTGTTTACCTCTTTGCACAGGCTGCTGGGCATGGGTGGGAGGCCAGCCTCCAGCCCCTGCAACCAGATAGCCTTATGAGGATCCACAAAAAGAAACTTTCTAGGAGAGAATGCTGCTCCATCTAACCCTCACCAACGGAGGAAAAGTGACTTTTTCCTGTGACAAATTTTAAAATGGGAAAACCAGATACACATATGTACAATAAATCAGAAGGGTCAAAAAGCTTCTCAAGGGGGCCCATACAAAAGGTGGGATAGTTGCCAAAAGACGCCGAACTATAAAATATTTATGATGGTTTATTCTGAACCAAATGTGAATTAATGTAGGCACACGACACCCATCCCCAGGAGGTCCTGAGAACATGTACCTGCTGTGGCTGATTTGCAGCTTGATTACATATATTTTAGGAGGACATAAGCTCTAGAAAAACCATAAACGAATACATGTGAGACTGACATTGGATCGGCTCAGGAAGGTGGGACATCTAGGGAGGAGGGGCTTGCAGGTTATAGGCAAGAGTAGCAAGAGTCAGGCTCTTATCTACAGAATCTTGAAATCAGTAGTAGAGATGTCCTGTTGAGATAAGAAGTCAGAAAAATTTCAAGTTTCTAAATATGAAGAAGAAGCCTCATAGGTGGCACACTTCATAGAGAATAGGTAAGTATTTTAAAAGGTACCTGGAACTCTGAGAGTTCCCAAGAGACGGCTTTACAGGATCATAAAATACTTTAATTTTTTTTATCTGCTATGTGATGGTATGCCAAAGTCAGACTGGAAAATAAACCACATTATATATGAAATGTTAATTTAAAAAAAATTAAAATTAAATAAAAAACCTGTCTCCCCAGGTTCCCTTAATTAGGAATTTGGCAAGATAAAGGAAAAAAGTCGGTTTCCTTAGCCTTGGCTCCCTCCCCCACCTTGGGGAGGTGAATCTTCTCTTTCCCTTTCTCTCTCTCTCATTTACTTTCTAAATAAAGTTTGCTTGAAAACTTCAACAAAAAAAAAGAAAGAAGTCAGAGTTTAATCCTCAAGTGTAATAATAAATGTACCCAGTCTTTGACTCTAATTCCCAACACACAGCTCCTGAAACCCTGAGGAGTTTCCATTCAAAATAACCCCACAACTAAGCTATACAAATAAGTGGCTCCAGGTGAGGGGGAGGGAAGCAAGATCAAATGTACAATTAATAGGTGGGACCTTTCAGCCATTTATTATAAACAAGTATAAGTAAAATGTTTTCTTGAATTCTCTGAGTCCTTCTAGCAAATTCATGAGTAGTAGTAGTAGTGGGAAGCTATGAATGTGTGATATGCCAGGCAGAAGGGTGGGGGAGCATTTACAGCTAGCATCTGAAGTGGGGGCAGTCTTGTGGGACTGGGTCTTTACCATGTGAGGTCTGACACTAACTCCAGGTAAACAGCGTGAACACTAAACTGCTGGACACTCCGGTGGCCTCAAAGGGTTGGAGGAATAGTGTGGAAAGTCCCACAGGCAAAGTCTAGCAGGGAATTCTGAGCCCAGCTAATACCACCACATAGCACCCTGACCCCATGCTCTTCATCTGGGGAATGTCCTCCTTCTCAGGCAGCTTTCCCATGTGGTTTCTGGAAAGCTTCTCATAGCTTGAGAACTAAACCCCTAGCTGTGCCACCTCCTGGCGCCAGAACCCACAGTCACTCACACACATTCTCCCATCCCATATCAAAAGACAGGCAGGACTATTACTCATGAAAGACAGTGGTGTGAGACCTGCACAGCCCAGGTCCGATCATCTGTGACAGTCCAGTCTAAGATCCTGACAGGCTATGGGTGGGAGTCCATGCAAGTGGCTCTCCAGAAGACCTTGGAGGCCTCCCTGAGAACCCTCCTACCCACAATTGGGTCACTCGGAAAAAGAACTGAAATGTGACTTTTCCTAGAGAAGCCAGTGTTTGGAGATCGTGCCTGGTCCAAGTGAGGCCAGT